CCCCCCCCCCAGCGTGGGAGGAATCAGTCCCGTGATACAGAGAGGGACAGAGGATCGGCAACAGTAATGCGACCTACTCCAGAGCCCAAATACTCCAATAGTATCCATGAGGTGAAACATATCTGGGAGAAGTTTAAAAAGCTGCTGGGGTCCAAGGAGGAAAGAGCCACAGCCCACTGAGAGTCAGGGAGGCTTCATGGAGAAGGCAGCACGGGGGCCTTGAGCTGGGCCTTGAGGTCTGGACAGGATTCAACACAGAAACCAGGAATAACGTTCCAGTAGATGTGACAGCCTGAGCCACAACCTGGAGAGACACACAGAGAAGAGGAAATGGTTTCACAGACAGGCCATCAGGGATGGGACAAAGTGTGACGAGAGGCCAGACTGTAGAGGTAGATGGGAGTCTGACGAGGGAGGGCCTTGAATGCCAAGCTAAGCAGCTTGGGCTGCATTCATGGGGCACTGGGGCGCCATCGGTGGTGTCTGAGCAGGGCAGGGATCTGGGCTCTGCTGTAGGAGGGAGGCCTGGTAGCAGGGAGTAAGAGGGGGGACAAGAGTCTGGATGTGGGAGACAGGAGAGATGGAGAAAGGCTGAACTGAAGGAACCACAGGAAGAGGAACGAAGGGGGGCAGGGCATAGGAACAGGGTGTCTGGAGCCATGTCCATGGGCTTGTCAACCAACAACATTGTGTTGACAGAAAGGAGCAGTGGCCCAGAGGAGGGAGATGGTCCTCATTCAAAGCATGTCTTGCTGATGACCACCAATCAGCAGTGAGGCCCAGGGCCACCTCCAGCCAGGGGGGACATGTGACGGAGTAGTGGGCTTGGGCCTTTGAGAAAAAAAAAAACCATCTCATTTCCACAACCAAGGCTTTTGCAGACATTAACACTGCCAGTCACCTCCCTTGTGTCCTCTCAGCCATGCATTTGCATTTCATGTACTTTCTACTCAGGGCCTGGGGCTGTGATTTCCCCTCCAACCTGGAGGCTGGTGGCAACCATGCTGTTTGCAGGTTTTTCATGGGGTAAAGAGCTTAGCCTCTGTCCAAAATCCCACATGCACTGGCCATTTTTTTCTCTGGAAGGTAATGTCATGCTGAGATTTTTTGGCATCCTGGGATGACCCAAAGTGCCTCTGGAACAGGGGCTCAGCATAGCCTCACCCCAGAGCTCAGCCTCAAAGCATTTCCCAAACCCCAGAGCAGGATGTGTGCTGTGAGGAAGGGTCCCTGTGGGGTCCCTGTGGGGACCACCTGGGGGAGTGGCAGAGTGGTGTCCAATAGCAGGCTTCTGGAACCTTCTGGCCATTTATAGATACTCGTTACCAATCTGGGGCACATCCCAGTGGAAGGGAGGAGGGGCATTCATCCGATTGTGCTGAGGGGAGGTCTCCTCAGACCTCAACCCCTTCAGTGTGGGTGGTAGTCACATGCCACGGGGACTCCAGCTCCCCTACTGCACACAGTTAGGAATGCGGTGGGGACTGAGCTGCACGTCTGGGTCCTGTCCTCAATAACAAAAAGCCTGGCCTGTCCCTTTCCACCTGTGGTTCCCAGAGTTCGTGTTCCTGGCCCTTGGAAGCAGTGGGCCCAGGAGAATGGCAGGACCCTAGCTGGTGTCCCCCCAGCCCCAATGCTGGAGTCGGCCTGGCCAGCAGCACCACAGATCTGCACTTCCCGGGCTTTTAGGGGCAGAGGCGCTCCTGAATAATTCAGCCTGTTTCACCGAGATGAAAATGCCCTAATAGGACTAATGGACTTGCTGCCTCCAAGCCCGACCCCTGGGGGACTCTTCTCATTCACTAACTGCCTCTGACGTTCTGCAGTGACACTCCCTAATGAAAAAGCTGCTGCACCAGATCCTTAGAGCATCTGGTGAACCTTAATAAACTAGACTGTCCTTTTTAACGAGCAGACGCCAGAAGGCAGGTGAGTGGCCCTTCGGCTCCTGGGGTCAGTGGCAGAGCCTTTTTGGGGAGAGTGCTGCTTGGGGACAAGTGTCCTGGGGACAGAATAACGGAGGGGTGGTATTCAGGGTGCATTAGGCTGATCGGAAATTAGATTCTCTATATTTTTTCAGAGGAAAACCTCCCAAAAAACCAGCCGTGGGTAACCGTGAGATGAGCTCTGGGGGAGGCAGGTTGGGGGCTCTGCCGCTGGCACCTGCTTGCTCCCAGACCTGTGAGTGCAACGGTCTGTCTTCCTATCCAGGGAGACCTGGGTGTCCAGCTCTCACCTTGTTGGGCTCACCACTGAGATTCAGCATTTTCAGTTTTCCCGGGAATGACAGAAGGACATTTGGTGGCTGCCTGGAAACACGCGGGCCTGAGCAGGCTGGGCTGCTTGGCTGGGCCTTGGCTTGCTGACTGTTCTGGAGCAAAAGTAATTTTGTTTCTGCCTGGACTCCATGCTGCTTCCCTCTGCATTCCTGCTTTCAGGAACTTTGCCTGGTTTCTCCGATGTGGAGACGACTGTCGCTCTTTAAAGAGACGGTCGGGATTCCTTCCAAACCTCATGCTTCGGTGGCTTTCGGTAAACAGACCACAGTTCAGAAATTCCATGTGAAGGCTCTTCAGGGCAATCATGATTCCCACTGACTTAATGAGGCTAACGTCTTCCTTTCTCTCCTCTTTCCATGTCACGGGGCTCATTTATGTGAATTCCTCCGGGTTCCCCTGGCCCTCCACAGGAATAGATTTGCAAACGGCAAAAGGCAGGCCCCAGCTCAGGAAGAACCTGTAGGCACTGTAATTAGCAACGGCTCTTGAGTAGGGGGCTGCTTTTCCTTGAGATGGGGTGCAGGTGGTGAGGGAGAAGGGGAAGTCAGCGCTTTTAAGCTCTGAGAATCAAGGGGGCTGGCAGGAGCCCCAAGGATGTCTTCCTGGGTCCACTTTGTCCAAGGACCTAACCGTGCTCCAGTTGCCTTCAGAGGAAGCGGAGGAAGCCCCAGTGTGAGGAAGTGCAGGGAGCCAGGCTCTGTCTTCTCCAAATCCGCAGCACCGGGGACCAGCAGGATTCCTTCATGGGGTCATGCCTCCTCGAGGGCCTTAGAAGGGGGAATGTTTCCAAGCCCCCCCTTCTCCTGCTCTGCATGGTCCTCTGGCCGCAGACCCCCTCATAGGTGCCATGTCCTCACCCCTCCACCTTTGCCCAGGGGCTGCCATGTTCACCCACACCCCACCTCTCCCAGCGAGTTGGCCAGGCACAAGGGGACACTCACAGGAGGAGGCTCTGGGCTCCCTCTGTGCAGGCAGGTCCTAGAGCTGCTATAAGGAAGGATCACGAGCAGGGGAGATCCTCTAACTCCTGGCCACACCCTGCCCTGCACCCATCTCATTAAGAGCATATGTTCTCTGCAAGATGGGGTGATTATTAATGTCTGAATTTTGTCCAGGCAAACATTTTCTAGTGATATTTGGTACCTGCATGGATCTCTCGTGTCATTCAAGCCCATGCTCACGTGTGCTCTCTCGAGGGGCCTGCCCTGTCTGCCAGCCCCTGTACCCTACACCCTGTTTTGTGTATTTTTGTCCCCACACCACTTATCATAGCCTCATATCCCATGTTGCTAGCAGCCGCCTCTCTATACAGGGCACATTCCCACTGCAACACCAGCTCCTGCCCAGCTGCCCGGGCTGGTCCCATGCAGCCCGAGGCAGCCCGTGCAAGAGGCCCTGCTCGTCCTACTTCACAGACATGGAGACTGAGGCTTGGGGCGGTCAGGTGCCTGCCTGGGTCGCACAGAGTGGGTGACAGACAAGGCTGCCCTGTCCAGACCTGGGCATGTAGCCACATGTCATCCCAGCTTTGGAATCTTGGCTAGATTTCTGGAGCCAAACCATACCGGGTGCTGTTTTGTGGGTAATGTCTTGAAAGCTAATGGCTATTGATCTCAGCCCGACTGGGCCCAAGCACCTGACATGGGGCCTGTTTTTTGGAAAGTGCCCCCGCAGCTGCAGCCAGCCTGCTGGGAACATGGGCCCCAGGGAAGACAGGACTAGCCTGCTCTCGCCCCACACAGGGCTGGCAACAGGCCACACAGCCACCTCTGAAGCAGCTGCCTGATGTTGTCCTGAGTGCACTTGGAGGTGGGGAGGAAGGGATGGAGCTGGTGCTGCTGCTTTTCCTAAAATGCCCCCACCTGGAACCCCAGGCCCCTCTTCTGGCCCCAGAGTGATTCTCTTGGAAGGTGGGACTTTTCATACCAGGGGCATCCCTGCCTGCTTTAGCATCCATCAGTGACTTCAGTCCAAGCACTTGGGGGAAATCAGAAGTCAGGGCCCTGCAGGCTCCCCTCCCTATGGATCTGAGCCCCCTCCCAGCCCCCAGGAGAAGACAGCCTGCAGAGAGCCTGGGCCTGAGTCAGGGAGTCAGCCCAGCCCTGCCAGGTTCTGTGGGGCACTGCCAGGGAAATGCCCAGTCACTGCTGGGACACCGAGCATGCAATGGTGAAAGCAGGCAACAGAGCCCTTGCCCTGCTTACCTTTAGGTCAGCAAATGCAGCAAACAAGATGATTGGAGAAGACTAGCACATTAGATGATGACAGGTGCCCTGGGGAAAAATTGCAGCAGGAAAAGGGTGGGGTGGAGAGCTCACCCAAGGAAGGGGCTGACCAGGCGCTCCACTGACATCTCTGCCCTCAGGGACCAAGCCGCAGCCTCTGAAGCTGCCTCTGCTCTGGGGACATCCCTTGCAGCTCTTCCCAGGGAAAATCATTTTTTCCCTTGGGGACAACAGAGGTGGGGACCATACCGGTTCCTCCAATTCTCAGGGCTGGGCTCCAGGTTTCCGCTCTGCAGCTGACTCATCTTCTCTCCTTGGTGATGGTGACACTGCTGAGGCCATGGTGCTGGCATGTGGGCTGGGCAGAGGTCTGTGGTCAGGTGTAGGGGGCACTCCTGGATTGTAGACCCTACCCCCTGTGAACATGTCCTTGTTACTGGTCAGAGATGCTGCAGGACATGGAGGCAGAGCCATGATGTGCCCTGCACCGATTCACTCACTTTGTCCACGAATTCACACAAAGGGTCACATTCTACACACACGCTTCCCCCTTTGCCCTTAGCCGCCATCTCTTAGGACTCATTGCATGTCCATCACGTAGAGACGCCTCGCCCTTGAAGGCTGCACGAGTTCCCATGTGACAGGTGGACTCTCACGTACCCAGCTTCCCTGCTGATGGACATTTGTGTTGTTCTTAGTTTCTGAGGGCAGCGTCGTCTTCTTTTAGGATGACCATGTAGCAATGGTTCTTAACATTTAAGCTTTGAAATTTCCCTGCTAAACCTATCCCCCATCGCTCTCCCTTACATGCATCCTGCTCGGTCTTCCTATTGCAAGAATCCGTGGGCTGTGACATATTTAGTGGTCACAGAGCATGGAGCCTGGAGAACGCTGCTGGTGCAATGGCTCGTTCCACAAGCCCAGAGTGTGTGTGCGGATGGCTTTCCCTTTACAAGGCTTGTGATGGGGCGAGGTGTGCCTGGCATAATCACACTGGAGTTTACCTCAGCGACAGGTGTGCTTCTGCTGCTTCTGAGGCATGTCCCTTTACCTGGTCCTACCCGGCAATCCCTCCTGGGAGCACCGTGCCAGTGTCTTCGGCTTTGGGGCTCGGGCTGGCTGCATGCTCTCCGTGCCCCGTTTTCACCGGAGCACCTTGAGTTCTTCCGCCTGGAATGCAGCGTCACCTGGGCTCGATTCATGGTGCAGGGGGGCGTGCCGGGGGTGTCCCTGGCTACGCAGCCTTGAGGACATGCAATCGAACGCCAAGAGATGTTTCATCCAGGGGCCAGGCCCCATCCCCGGGCACCAGCACCCCTTGGTGGCCGCTCTCGTTGGAGGATGTGTCTCTGCAGCCGCCCTGCCCCAGGGCCAGCGTCCAGCTTGGGCAGTGGGGACAGCGGCATGCCCTCTGACCCGTCGCCACTCGGCCTTTCCCGTCTGGACAGTGGCGGCTCCCAGGCGGTACCATGTTGTCCATGACGTACAGCGAGAGCCTGAGGAGCGTGAGCAGCAGGTGTCACTCTGACTGGGCCCTGCACCCCGTCCGCCAGACCGACACCCTGGAGCTGCAGCGGCTGCGGGAGGTGCGGGCGGCCGCCCAGGCCAGGAACATGGAGAGCTTCCTCCGCATGCACGGCCTCTCCCTGGACGGCTGCACCGCCCGGCGCACGGGCATGAAGTACCGGTAAGGGCACCCGGCAGGGGGCAGGACACCCGGACAACGACTTCATTGTACTTTGGGGTAAACATCTTGTGCTTAAAAATTCAAACCACATAGAAACATACGAAAGAGGAAAACGGAAGTCTGAATAGTCCTGGCCTCCAGAGAAAAGCACTGGTTAACTTTGGTACATTCTGTGTGAAAAGAGAATGTGGTTTCTAGAAAAAACTTTGCAGAAGGGGGTGGAAGTGCTCTTTCACTTGTCTTCTTGCAGCGTCACTGGGACAAAGTAATTGTTAGGGAGTGATGGCACACAGGTTAGTGAAAAAGCTTCATTTACCATCTCGAATGACAAATCCATCTCTGTAGTGGAAATCCAGGGTGGGCCCTTGAGTTGGGCTGACCTCATGGGAAGTGGTCTTCAACAGGTGGCCTCTGGCTTGGTTGCTACAACCACACCTGTATCGTAGCAAAGATGTGGTTTAAATGTTCCTTTGGGTGACAGGCATGTAGGGCTGGCTCTTCAGAGCCTCAGAAGGACATTCCGTTGAGCGCGTTCGGCTTTGAAATCAGCACCTGGGACAGCGCCCGGCCCCCCTGCTCCCTCTTCTGACAGCCTCAGAAAGCCGAGCTGGCGGTTTCGTTTCTAAATTGCATTAGTGCAGCTTTATTCCTGCGCCTCCCACGGACAAGCCCTCGCCCGAGCCAGTCAGCCAGAGGGGAGCCTCCCTGCCTGGTCTGTGTAACGTTGCCAGGTTTAGCAAATAAAAATACAGGATGCCCAGTTACACTTGAATTTCAAATAAACAACACATTATTATTAGTATTATTTTAGTGTAAATATGTCCCATCAGATATTTGGAACATACTTATACTAAAAAGTTATTCGTTGTTCATGTGACTCTCAGATTTCACTGGGTGTCTTATACTTGACCTCTGGCTCCCACCTAACACAGGCCCAGGGGTTACCTGGCTGTTCTCTGGAGAGCAGAGCAGAGACCAGCCCTGGTGCTTTAACATTTTCTCCTATGGACAATGTGTTTGGGCCTTCGGCTCATTGTTTGAACATGTGGTCGTGGTTTAAAGAAACAAAACATCCCATTAGATGGCAGAATTCTGAAGGCTTTGTATTCTGAATCCAGCTGTAAGGGAAGGACAGAGGGTCAACTAGCTAGGCCTCAAGGAGCTCCTAATTCTGATGGAAATTTCTCAAGAGGGAGATGAGACTACATTTTTTTCTATTTTTGGCTAGTCATTGAAACTTTTCGTTAATTCAGCAAATGTTTATTGAGGGTCTACTTGGCTCCACGTAACCAGTCAGTGCCACATGAACATCCTGGTGGGGGGAGGCAGAGGAAAAGCAGGTAACACCTAAGCAGTGAGGGAGGCCAGGGACAGCTGAGACCCGCACCATCTGAACATCTGGAGATGTGGGGAAGAACCTTCCAGGCCAAGGGACAGGGGCACGACCAAAGAGAGGAGAGAAGGCCCAGGACTGGGCTGCAGTGAGGAAGGCGAGAGCAATAGGGACCAGGAAGGGAGGACAGAGCTTGTCCTTCACTCCCTGGGAAGACCTCAGCTCCCTCCCTTGTGCATACTAGCTGCGATCAAGGAGACACTGGAGTGAATTGTGTCCCCCAAAATTACATGTCTACCCAGAACCTCAGAAAGTGATCTTATTTGGGAATAGGGTCATTACAAATGTAATTAGTTAAGACGAGGTCATATTGGAGAAAGGTGGGTTCTAAATCCCAATGATTGGCGTCCTTATAAGAAGGCTATGTGGGGACACACAGGGAAGAAGTCATGTGACAGTGGAGGCAGAGACTGGAGTGATATGGTCCTTATTAAAAGCCAAGGAGCACCTCGGCTTTGAGAAGCTGGGAGAGGCGGGATGGAGCCTTTGTGATCTGCACTGGACCCTGAGAACACTGAGGCAGGGAGAGGAAGTCGCTGCCACAGGCTACCCAGCCCATGAGCAGGGAGCCCAGGACCAAACAAGGTTTTATCCTTAACTTCTGTGTGAAAAGGCAGGGCCAGGGCTGAGAGCAAGTTCAGCCACCATGGTTGCAAACATCTCTGGGTGGGTTCTTCTCTGGGTCCTGTCAGAGCAGAGGGTGGACAGCCAGCAGGTGTGAAAGGCCCCTGCGGGCCTGAGGTGGGAGGGACAGAGTGGCTCCTCAGACCACCCCCCTCACTTTGTCAATGGGAGCCGAGTCCCAGAGAGGGCAGGACACCCACCTGTGATCACACAGTGAATTAGCAGCAGAGCCTGGGCTGGACCCCTGACCACCTGCCTCCTGTCCAGTGCTCTTTCTCAGCCCCTCCCAAAGGGCAAGAAAGGACCCAAAAGTCAGCTTTGACAAGGGCCTATCCTGCAGGACCAAGAGTGTCACTCTGGGGGTCAGAGGGCAAAGCCGTTCTTGCCAATGGGGACATCTCTCTGAGTTTCAGGAAACCCCGTGAGCCATGAGTGTGGAAAAGGACTGAATGGGGAGGGTCTTCATTCATTCATTCACATATTCATTCACTCATTCATTCCAGAAGTATTTATTGAGCGCCTGCTGTGACCTAAGTACTGTGTAAGTGCTAGAACTTCTCCAGTCTCTGGTCTCTGACCCCTGGGTTTCTTTCCTCGGGTCATATGTGTCATTATCATCTAGACAGAGTGGTCTTTTCTCCTCCACGTTTCTGGCCAAGCCCCGGTGGAGGCCCCACTTTCCTGGGCAAGGACCACGAGCAGATAGTGCCAGCCAGAGCCGCTGCCTGCGAGCTCAGCCGTCCACTGGCTGCACAGCCTGTCTCTCCCCATCCTGGCTGAGCAGCCATCAGCCTGGAGCAGCCAGTGCCGCCACCGGGGACCGGCCAGGGCAGAGGCTTGTGCAAACTGCCTCATAAATAATGAATCACCGGATGCCTCCTGAGCCTCTCACCGGTCACCTAATTGACCTGGTGGGAGTCCCAACAGCCCTCCGTGTGCAGCCCCAGGAGCTAGATGCCAAGATCCCTGTGAGAGGCTCAGGAAAGCCTGGAGAAGCAGCTGCTCCCCGAACCCCCAGGAGGCCACCCCAGGAGAGCTCAGCCCCCAGGCCCCTGCCCGCTGCCCCACAGAGGGGCCCCCCCTTCTCCTTCTCCCGTCAGAGGCCACGATGTCGCTCATTGGTCAGGAGTAACTGGCAGCCCAGCCCTGCTGGACACTGCTGGGGGCCGAGCAGCCCGAGCCAGACCAGGGTGATGGCGGAGGAGGGACCCCCAGACACGAGGGAGAGGTGAGAGGGGACAGAAGGTGACGCCCTCGCTGGATTGCCGAGTCCCCTCTGAGGTCTTCTCCAGCACAGTTCTGGAAATTTGACTCTCTTGCCCGGAAGGCTGCACAGGCGTTTTCTCCACCGTCGTCTTCGGAAATCGCTGCTGACGGAAGGCCCCGCAGCTCCTCCGCCTTCTGGGATAAAGTCTTGTCTGGCGGAGAAGGGGCAGATGACTGCGGAGCCCCGAAGGAGGGGGGACGAGCCCCTGAGCTGAGTGCCGGCATCCCTCAGCATGCAGGTGTCCTTCGTGTGCTCGGAGCATGGCCTCAAGGGCAGGGGCCCCGATGAGCGGCTGGGCCGGCCGGCCACCAGCAGCCCCAGCCTGGGCACCCGCGGCCGCTTCCGCGCTGTGGCCATGGTGGCCCGGAGCCTGGGACAGCTGTCAGTACAGAGCCTCCCAAGCGCCAGTGACACCAGCGTGAAACAGCCGGGGATGAAATATAGGTAGGAGGCTTAGATGGCTTTGCGGGGTGGGGGCTGCCTTCCCCCACCTCATCTGGGAGAGCCGGTAAATTCTGCAGATCCCATCAGACTTGGGTGGTTTTTGAGCTGAGAGGCCAGGAGGGGACTTTTCTAGCCTTGGCAGGCAAGGTGAGAAATAAAATCAAGGCTTGGGGTCACCCCCAAGTTTTTTCACAACTGCAGGGAGAGAGAAGGTGCATGGTGGCTTCTCTTCCTCCTGCCCGTCTGTTTCTGTTCGGTGTGGGGAGAGGTTACAATAGCCAAGCCCCTAGCATCGGACTCTGTGATCTTCCTGTTCCCGGGAACCCCAGGCACTGGTCACAGGCTCCCTGCCCTCCCCCTGGGCACACGGGGCCTCAGAAGCTGCCCCGTGGGTGGTCTGATGTCTTTGCAGCTTGGCCACAATGACAAGCGTTGGTTTGATAGTCAGCAACTACTGGGTGAGCCATAGGATGGAAATAATCTTCCCTCCCTGGCCTGAGCCAGACCCCAGGCCCAGGTTCCTCTACAGGCAGGACAGTGGCTCTGCAGGCCTCGGAGCCACATCTGGAATCTTCTGCTGGTGCTCAGCCACACATGATGATGGCACAGGCTGTCAAGTGTCCCTCTGCTTTGGGCTCAGGCCCCAGGGGCTCCAGGCTCTCCCACCCAGGCCCCTGCCCAGATGCTCAGTGGATTTGCCAGGTGGAAATGGGGGGTCCAGCTTTGTACAAAGGGCCCCTGCGGGGGGTCTGGCCTTTCTTATTCTCCACGAGTCTCTCTGTGCCCAGAGCCCTTATTGCTTCGAGAACAGTGTTCCTGGGAAAGGGGAGTCCTTACAACAAACCACCTGCATAAACTGGAAAAACCAGGTTAGCCCTCTGGCTCCCAGGTGTCGCAGGATAAATGTTTCCAACTCTTCTTTCTGTGACTCAAACAGACACATAGCCTCAGAAAAACTACAGATGAATCTAGGTGTATTTCAAGAGAATGTCTGGGTTGTTAGCTGGTGTTGGTGGCAACTGTAAAGTGAGAGAATTGATCCTGACAACTGAGATGCCTTCCAAACCAGTGCCCCAAGGGTGGACTTCATGTGAAGGAACCAGGTTGCAAGTCCTACATCTCCTCGAGATGGGTTCTGGAATAACTGGGCCCTTCTGCGTCAGTGTCCTTGCCCCTTCCCTCCCTGGGAGCTCGGGGGAGGCTTGACATTCTGCAGTGGACCTCTGGGGTAAAAGGCCTTTTGTTCCATCCTCTGACCTCAATGAGGAGCATCCAGAATGGAATTCTCGATTCTAGAAGCTCTGGGGGCTCATATCTTGTTAAGTGGGGATGAAAAGCTAGGAGTAAACAATATATATATTTTTTACTTTGATACCTGTTACCTGCTGTGATCTTTAAGTCAATCCTAGTATCCTCAAAGGAGTTCATATAAATGAGACCATTTCTAAAAATATAAAATGCTATGTAAATGAAAAAAGTGGCTGTTAACGGGATTTCCCTCCTGAGATCCTAAGATCCACTGAGGAGTAGATCTCAAAGAGACTGAGTGCTGAGGATGACTGTGTGTGCACATGTGTGTGCACATGTGTATGCATGTGTTGTGCATCCGTGGGCGTGGGCGCATATGCATGTGTGACACATGCGGGAGGCAGGAGGGCGAGGCAGGCGAGGCAGGAAAGGGAGATAGATGCCCATTGGGCTGGGGATTTACAGTATGAGGACCTGGATTCAAATCCCAGCTATACTACTTCCTAACTGCAGGACCCCATCTGTCCTTACATGTGGCCGGGGTGGGCGAGCTTCACTTGAGGTGCGGGAGGGGGAGGTGGGTTCATCCCCTGTGGGGTGTTTCATAGCAGCTGAAATGGAAGTCAGAATTCGAACCATGGGGCACCCTGCTGAGCATGGAGGTCCTGTCTCATGGGGAACCTACCCCACAAGGTTCCTGCCTTATGGGTACTTGCCTCAGGGGTACCTGCCTCAAGGGTGTGTACCTGCCCCCAAAAGTTCCTGCCTCACCACCACCTGCCCCATGGGGTTGCTCCCTAATGATTGTCTGAGGGCCACAGCCAGGGTGCAGGTGGGGCTGCAGGGTGCTTCATTCCAATCTGCCCCCACCCTGACCATCTCCTTAGGAAGCTGGCCCTTCCCAATGGCATGATCCAGGGCCAGGCCTCAGCCACACCTGTCGGTGTTAAGAGAACTAAAGGTGTGTGGCCAGCACCAGAGTGCCACTTTCTTGCCAGACGGCCCAAGAGGTGCTCAGTGCAAAGGGAATGGGAACAGGAAGTGAAACCCATGAGAAAGGGGAGGACCCAGTGTTAGGTCCTGAGGTCTGCCCCAGGGCCTGTAATTCTCACTCCCTAGTTCCGCCCTTGGGACCCTGCCCCTGCCAGCTGCAATCTGAAGAAGACCCAGAAACCCAGGCCCAGCCTTAGGGAGCCTGGAATCTGAGAGCAGGTAGACGTGTTAACAGGTAGCCACCCCACATTGACCAGAAAGCACCCTGGTCCCTTCGTCATCAAACCAGCTCATCAAAGTCATGTTGCTTTCCATCACTTGATCGAATTCTGGTCCTCTGCCCAGAGCACTGAAGGGAAAGGCCCTGAACTATTTTTAAAGAATCTGTAATTGCCCAGAGTCTGAGGTGCAGTGTTTAGGGGTGCAGGGCGTCCGGTGGCTACATGACAGGCCTCGGCGCTTTTCTTGGCAAAGGTTAAATCGGTGAGTCCTCATTAGCGGTTTTCTAGACCATAGCAGAGACATGAGCCAAATTAATGAAGACTAACATTGTTTGGGTTTAGGGGTTTAGTGACCTATTTTATCATTGTGTCAGGTTTTAATCAGTAGGAAATGACTTTTGCATCTTAGAAGTTTCAAGTGGTAGCATGTTACCAGCTGTGGTTCAGGCGAGGCTGTGATGTGTTGAGAGCCCCACCCCCACTGAGCAGCGGATTTATAAAGCTTTTAGCCGGGAGACACCCTGTCCTTTCTCATTTCTTCTCCCAAGGCCTGGCGGCGGAGGGCAGACCTAATACCATCATTTTCATGGGGAAACAACTTGAGCGGGGCAATCATGGCATCACGCAGTGTCCTACTTTGGCTCAATTATTCCTGCGGGCAGTGGGTGGAGAAGCAGTTGGGGAGCCTCACACCCCGGTGCTGCCCTGGTGCAGGGGGAAACTCAGCCCATCTGGTGGGCCGGAGGCCACCTGGTCTTCAGCCACTGACACAGGTGAGCTCAGCCCAGTGTTCTGTGTCCTCACCTGTCTGTTGCCAAAACCCCTCATCCTCTGATACTGGTACTTGGTCCCACTCCAGCACCTGGATTTATCTAGACCAGGTGCCCAGGCCCTGTGAACATCTGGGCATCTCAAAACAAAGCTCTGAGGGTTTCCATGTACGTGCACGTGTCCAGGGAATGGCTTTCTCAAAACTGTGCCCCCAAAACTGTTAAGAACTGCAGTTCTTTTTGCTTCATTAGCAGACTGCTTATGAGCAAGATTCTAATTTCTCATCACGGGTACTTTCTAGCTGGCGGGGAAGTTACCTCCGCCGCTGGACACGCTTGGCCTGACGAGCGCATAGGTGATAAGGTTGAGCCTTGCAGGTTGCTCTAGATCGGAACATACAAACAATGCTGAGGCACCGTTAGGTTATTTCACTGATTTATAGGAAAAGACAAGGGAAAACTTCCATTCCCTTTTTACACTCAATATTTAAAGCCTATTTGATTAGTCTGTTGTTTTCTGTGTAAGGGAAAGCTGCCATCCCGTGTTCTGTGCTGTCTCTGTTGGAAATGACACATGCAGCGTCAGTGTCCTGTGCTCCTGTGCCCAGGCACATGTGTCATCCTCGTGGCAACCCTGTGAGAGGGGTGGTGTTGGGAGCCCATCCTGCAGATGAGACAGGGAGGCTTCAGGCGGTTACATGACATACCCAGGGGCACTCAGCCAGGAAGGTCAGACCAGGATTTGAGTTCTGGCTTCAGGGCCTCTGCCAAATCTGCTTGCCTCCCAAAAGAGAAACCAGCTGCTAATGCATCCCCATTTAGGGAAAATCCCCAGCACTCCTGTAGGAAAGGTGGGCTGGCAGCCGGGCTGGTTTTAATGGGAAATTTGACAAGAAAGCTGGGCAATTTCCAATTACCTTAAATCTGGTGGCATGTTAAACTGATTTCAAAGTGCTGGCAAGTTTATGGTATCCACTCCCCCAGCACCCACAACGACTGCTTGTGATATGGGTGAGGCCCAGGTCTTGTAACCAGAGAAACAGAGGCTGCGGCCTGGCCAGCGTGGCTCAGTGATTGAGCGCTGACCTAGGATCCAGGAGATCATGGTTCGATTCCCGGTCAGGGCACATGCCCAGGTTGCGTGATTGATCCCCAGCGGGGGGGATGCAGAAGGCAGCCGATCAATGACTCTCTCATCATTGATGTTTCTATCTCTTTCTCTCCCGCTCTTCCTTCCACTCTCTAAAATCAATAAAAACATATGAAAAAAGAAACTGAGGCTGTGGAGGGTCAGCGTGGGCCTGAGTCAGAGAGGAGCAGGTCAGGCTCAGGCCTGGATGGAGAAACTGAGGACACAGCATCCACTGAAGTTAAAAATGGGATAGCCCAGGGAAGCAGCAGGGGGCCTTAGAGAAGGAGGCTGGGGGTCACTGTCCATATCTCACATTTCTCTGATTTCCCAATGCCTAGAAGGGTGTCCCACCCTGAGCTGGTCCCAGGACTAGGGTGCTAGCATCGAGATCTCACCCGGGAAGTGGAGTTCAACACCAGAAGGGTCAGGGCCCAGCTGTGGTTGGGACACCCACCATTGCCACTTATCAACTTCACCATCTGGGCAGATCACATTCTGTGTCCCCTGTAAATGAGGGTGGGGCATGGCTCTGTGGCGGGAGCCTATTCTGGAGCTGGCTGCCTGGGTGGAATACAGCTCCTCCACTGCTGGGCAGGTCCCATGTGCTCTTCCATAAAATGGGAATCGTCGTATCAGGAAAAGGAAGGTGCCTGCCCACAGAGCTGTGGGGGCATCAGTGACAAGATACTTGAGGACCACCTGGCCTGCCGCTGCCCCCCAGGCTCCCAGGCAGCCTGTGTCAGGACAGATAGGCATCCCAGTCCTCAGCAGGGCATTGCCACCCTCCATGACCCTCTCAACCCATTCATGTGAGTTCTGAGAGGTGCCTCATCCAGCGGGCACCTTGGAGGACCCATGATGGAACCCGGGCAGCTCGTACAGCTGTGGTCATGGGGCCTGACCAGGATGTGTGCTGTCAGGGTGTCTGGACCTTGCCCTCCCCAGGGCCCTGGCTGG